AAGAAGAAGACAATCATGCAGTTACTGTCAATTCACAGCGGTATGTGGACATGACTAAAACTTTTTCGAACCAGCTCTTGAAGAAAAGCATCTAGGAAATATCTAGTTCCAACAGGATGGTGCCACGGCCCACACAGCCCGAGCTTCGATGACAGTTTTGAGGGCAAAGTTCCCCGGACGGCTCATCTCGCTTCGAGGTGACATCCCGTGGGCAGCGCACTCACCTGATCTAACGCCCTGTGATTTGTTTTTATGGGGATACCTCAAGACAGAAGTTTTTAAACATCGCCCCACAAACCTGCTTCAGCTGATGAATGTTATTCGGCAGGAAGTAGCCCAAATTCCCGTGCACATGTTGGAACGTGCAGAGGGGAACTTCAGAAAACGGTTGCATCAGTGCATAGAGAACGGTGGCCACCCCCTTCAATATATTTTGTTTAAAACTACATGAGTTAAAACATTAAAGTACATTCTTTCATTAGCTAAACATAAATTTTGTCTATCAGCAATAATTTTTCTTTTATTCGCCTTCAAAAAAAGGAATTTTCTGCGCCACATCCTGTATACGATCGTTACAAACTTTTTAGATCTTAATTAGAAAACACAAGCTGAACAATAGAACGCTTCAAGTTTGTTTTGGTCGCCAAGACGGAATAATCATGTCCTACAGACAGTTCGATAACGAGCAACAACTGAATGCATCTCTGGAGTGCATCCACCTGACTCCATTTCAAGCCGTCTGCATGCAGTTGCTCTGTCTCAGGTGATAATGCTTCTGACGTGTATTTGCTAGGGGAGGGGGCTCAAATCTCGGGGATCAACCTTATTGGCTGAGGTTTATCATGAATTTCCTCGGTCCCTCCATACACAGAGGAAAACGTAAAGTTGTACCTGAGCTTAACTAATTAAGCATTATCCCATGGTGGACTAAGAGGAGTGAATGTACGAATAGACCCACGTTTTCTTGACCTCGGCACTAGTTGCAGGTGAGTGGTCAGCTTCACGCCCGGACCGCTTTACTAAAGGGCAAAGAGCCCCCGGTACCCATTGGATAGGAGTCTGAGTGGGCCCCAGAGCCGGTCTGGGAAACGTGGAGAAGTTAAAATTCTTGACCCTACCGGGACTCGAACTCCAAGCACTCGACCGTCTAGCCCGTAGCCAGTCACTACACTGACTGCGCTAAACCGGCTCTTCCCTCCATGCATATATCAAATCGCGACCGCTTCCTTCCCAATCCGTCATTGAACAACCACGCTACTATTCGGGGCTATAAGGAGTTAGAGACAGCCTCGTTAAACAAACCGTAAATATAAACTAAATATAAGTAAAATATATGTTAAAGTAAAACTAGTTATGGCATTTCGTATTACAGTAGTACTGGAAATATTGTCACCTGTAAGGGTGTACGCGTGACGTAATTAACAGGTTCTAGTTCGGATGATTGGATTCATTGGCACTTCGGTTACACACTCTCTTAATTGTAATTAGTGCAGTGCTAGCGCTCTTTCTACACTTTATAATTTACTGTTACACTAAAATACACACTAGTCCTCTCCTGGCAAAGGATCTCAACACAGACTAGCGCTTCAAATCACTTCAGATGTCACTGCACTACAGCACGCGTAAAAAGTCTTTAACGTCCATTAACACTTCACAGCTGAATTCTCACAACTCCTTTCCGTGACGGCTTCGTGTCGTTGACTCACGGGTTCTCGGCTACGTCCAGCTATGACTCGTTGCTGCCCTGAACTGACTATGCATCTGAATCCACTTCTCTTATAAGCACTCTGCACAGAACCCACGGAAACCCCTATTATTGTAGAGCTGTTTGCAATTCCGTTGCTTAGAAACGGATTGCACAACACCGTTGTTCTACTGTTGCTTGACGTGGACGACATTGGAAACAAGTCACGTGCCAGCTATCCGTCAATCCATTGGCACGCTGATTGTTGCCTAGTAACGAGCTATAAACATTCGCCATATTGTTGCGTGACCTGAAGCGAGAAAGTGTATGTCGCGCTGTTGCCTAGATATAAACCTTATAATATGGGGGGTTCCAAAAAATTTAGTCACTTTTGATAGTCAATATCTTTGCAACAAAATGACATGTAGTTACAATTCTTGCTCTGTAGTGTAGTGTAATGTTTTCTCAACAGATGGCGAAGGTCACATGAGTCACGTGAGTGTCGTTCCGCGTGCGCGTTACGAGCAGAAGACAGCAGCAACAATGGCTGAAAGGTTGTTGTTTGAGGAACACAAGGCTGTATTGTAGTGGTACTGGAAGTACGAAAACATTAAAGAGGTACAACGACAATGGCAGAATGAGTTTGGAACTCAGCCACCAACACGTCGAACAAGGAAGTGAATCTACCGGGAGTTAAAGTGTGGTGTGGACTGTCATCGCGCGGTTTGATTGGTCCTTTCTTCTTCGAAGGTACCGTAACTGGTCAGGTGTATCTCGATATGCTTCAGATATCGATTTTCCCTGCCATTCGAGAGCTGTTTGGAGATGAGAGATTTTACCTACAAGATAGTGCTCCACCTCACTACCATCGAGATGTCAGGGCGTACTTGGATGACACTCTACCTGGACGATGGATAGGTCGAAGAGGTGCTATTGAGTACCCACCACGGTCTCCAGACCCAACACCTCTCAACTTCTACCTATGGGGAACCTTGAAGTGTGAAGTTCATCGACAAAAGACAGCTACACTGAACGCGCTACGAGAAACCATCGAAGCGTCGTGTGCAGCCATCACACCAGACACACTGACAGCCGTAGTTCGCTCAGCAGTTCGGCGGCATCGACGCTGTTTAGCCGCTGATGGTGGTCACTTCGAACACATACAATGACTCTCCCTCTCTCTCCGCGGAAGAATTGTAACTACATGTCATTTTGTTCCAAAAATATTGACTGTCAAAGAGGGAATACATTTTTTGGACCCCTCTGTATATTTCCCTTGATAGATTGTTCTCTGCCGACAATTTAAAACATCGTGACACTGTGAGATTTGGATTTGCCGTTCTCACAGCTGTGACTACGGACAGTACTACCTTCTAATAACGTCGTGTTCTCTGATAGAAGTTATCCGGCTCTTAGGAGCAAAGTACTGCTTCCATCTTCAGGGCAGAAGAATAAGCCAAGTAAGCAGAAAAAAGGTATGAGTCCTCTAATTGCTTGGGTTATTGTTCCAACTGATATTGGAGACAATACATCCATCCGAAACGCCGGTAAAATATAAATTTCCGCTTTGATAATATACGAGACTTGCGGTGATGTGGTTACCTCGAAATTACTGTTGCAGGTTCGTAATTGTGAACTTGTAGGTCTCCATGACCTGAACCAAACGGAGGCTGATGTGCGAGAGAAGTTCATTACATTCCTCAATCTACTGGTGAACTGCGGAGTGGCGGGCTTCAGGTAAGAAACTACTGCCTACTTACTGCAGCTGGATCTCATTGGCCTCACCAGGGGGGAGGATTTTGATCAAGAATAAATGGTAATCTGGATTAATGAAGCCAAAAGTTAACCCTAAAAGATAAAAATTTAGAACACAAATAAATTGAAAATGTAATAATATAGATAGGTAAAGCTATCCCTGTAACAGGCCATGGAGGCCCATACTGTTGTGAGATGTCGAGGCTCCCACATTTCCTATACAATCGGCTAATATATGGCGGTGAAATTGTCAGCCTTACGCTCCGCCTGCCATTTACGCCCAGGAAGATTCCCGATACTCATTTCTGTTAGAGGATAAGTCGACCCCAGGGTCCATAGTGAGGCTGGAAGAATTAGATAAATTTAAAACTCCAGTAACCTCTTCGGAATTAGAACCCGTGACCTTCCAGCTTGTAGCATAGTGCCTCAACCAACTGCGCAAACGCATGCCCCAATAATATAGATAGTGCTGATGAAAATAACAGGAATATTACTAGAGCCTTTATTTAAAAACAAGACAAGAGACACATACCACGAATGACCAAAATGGCCGACCGCGAAACAACAAGCTTCCGCTCAAACAAAAGAATATTTAGGACAGCCACATGCAGAAGGAAAGATAAATCGATAAATCAAGAAAACCGTAAGTAACATCAGATATGCAGAGATTGAATATACATAAATATGAACATTAAAATAAAAACTATAATATAACTTATCATATACAGAGTGTCCCAGGAGTTTGGTGCCATACTTCAGGAGTGTACTGAGGGTTCCCTATAGAATTACTTTGAAATAGAAACCCATGTCCGCAAACGTAAAATAGCAGCGCTAGGGCGGCATTTAAAATCATTTTGTTTAAACTTGGCGCCTCAATGTCGAACTGCATTGCGTAGAGGAACAGCCATCCATCGTGCCATTGCCAAGATTGTGGGGACATCAAAACCAAGTGTTTGGAGGGTCCTGCATGACCAAAAACTTTATCCGTATCATCCAACGCGAGTACACGACGTAGGTCCAGCTGACTTCGTACCACGAGTTCAATTTTGTCAGTGGATACTAAACCAGTGTTTACATCAACCAAACCTCCTGAATCACGTGCTCATCACAGACGAAGCGCAGTTTACAAGGGATGGCTGGTTCAACTGTCGAAACAGCCACGTTTGGGCTGACGAAAACCCTAACGTTACTGTAGTTGGTTACCACCAGGCGTAATTTTCTGTCAATGTCTGGGCGAGCATCATTGGTGATCACTTCATTGGGCCTTTCCTTCTACCACCGTGACTCAATGGGATCTTTTACAAGGCGTGTCTGGAACGTATCCTTCCGACTTTGCTAGAAGAGGTGCTACTGATTGTGCGGAGGCAAATGTGGATACAGCATGACGGAGCGCCGGCACGCTTCAGCACTGTATCACGAGACTACCTGGATGCTGCTTTTCACAGTCGTTGGACAGGAAGAGGAGGCCCAGTGCCTTGGGCACCCCGATCCGCAGACTTGGCACCTCTGGACTATTTCGTCTGGGGCCATGTGAAAAGCCTGATCTACGACACGCCTGTGGATAATGAATTCGAGCTGTTGGCCACAAGACTTGTTGCATGTGACGCGATCCGTGAGACACTTGGTATATTTGAAAGGGTGCGCCAAAGTTTCTTGCGTCGATGTAAAGCGTGCATTGAAATGGAGGGCGCCAATTCCAACATCTACTCTAGCAGGTGAGTCTTAGGAGTCCGGAGGGGGTAATATACCTGTGCATGCTCTTCAACATTGAGGCGCCAACTTTAAGCAAAATGATTTTAAATGCCGCCTTAGCGCTGCTATTTTACGTTTGCGGGCATGGGTTCCTATTTCAAAGTTGTTCTATAGGGAACCCTGAGTACGCTCCTGAAGTATGGCACCAAACACCTGGGACACTCTGTATTACAGATAAGGCAAACACGTGCATAACAAGAGTTGGTTAACCCACATAAACTACATTTTTTCAATGGCTCTTCCAGCCCATTCAGGTTCCAGGCCTCGTATTCAGATCCGTAATCATTTTTCACAGACGGCAGGACTCCTTCGACGGTGATCAGCCCGTCAAAAGGCCGCTACCTAAACACAGGATAACAAAACACAGAATAAACGCATACACACGCCAAACATCCATGCTTTGAGTGGGATTTGAACCCACAATCCAGCGTCTGAACGAGAGAACACGTACATGCCTTAGACAACACGACTACTGTGACAGGAAAAGCAGAATTAGTAGGATGCTGGAATGTACTATAAGAAGGCAGGAAACTTCATCCAGCTCAAGCCGATCTCGGATATTTTGCGTGGTTTCAGTCTCTCCAGCTGCCCTCAACACAGCCTGAAAATCTTCTTGCTCCTAAATCCCACGTGTCTTTTAAAGCATGTACTCAACTGTGAACAGAATTTTATAATTTTTCATATCTCGATCCGGGTTAACTGTAACCGGATTAGCAAGGGTTTACTGTAATGCAAGTTTATCAAGAAATATCTTAAATGTACCATACGGGACGTACTTCATGTTCAGCACATCCGAATATTTTTTGGTCCTTCTGGTTTATGTGAGGTAGCGTAGTTGGTTGGGGCACTATGCTAAAATCCGTAAAGTCGCGAGTTTGAGTCCCGACGAGGTGGATTTTTTTTAATTTACTTAATCCTTCTAACCGCACTATGGCCCTGGGATCGAGTCAGCCTCTAACAGAAATGAATACCATAAATCTTCCTGGGGGGTATAGGGCGGCCAGCGCGTAAGACTGACAATCTTACAGCCATCTGTGAGACGATTGTCTAGAAAAAATGTAGGAGCCTCGACGTCTCACAACCCTATGGGCCTTCAAGGCTTGTTACAGGGATAACTTTACCTTACTATTATCGGCTCACAGATGGCGGTGAGGATGTCAGCTGGCCGGCCGCCCTATACGCTCAGGAAGATTCTTGGGTACTCATTTCTGTTAGAGGCTGAGTAGATCCCAGGGTCATAGGGTGGCTAGAAGGATTTAGTCAAATGAAAAATCCAATGAAATCGGGAATCGAACCCGCGACTTTCCGGCGCTTAGATTAACGCTTCAAGCAAGTATACTACCGCAGCATAGAAGTCTTGTGACTGTTGTCTCAGCCATTTCCGCACCTCCGTTTCAACCTCTTCGCCGTCAGCGAAACATCTGTCACCCAGCTGTGAGCAATTTTACGCGACAAACACTTCCCACCGTAAACAGGAAGCATTTCTTTGTGAATATCCTTTGAACTGAGTCCTTTTGTCCACAGAACAAACGTACAAATGAACGCTACTCTTCGGTATTACACTCCTCAAGCACAGTCGCTATTTTGACTACTGAAATCTGCCTCTGAACATGCGCATGCGCGTCTGCTACCTAAACTGTCATGAAGCTGGACTGTGCTGCTACCTAGTGATACACACAGAAAATCTATTACGTCCATTAGAGCTGCTTTGCTTTATTTTATGAATTATTTACCGACTTCCCCTCGTACATCTATATCTACATACGTAACTAGTCCATAACATTACAGTCCTGTGCTCCTAAAGCATAATAATTTAAGAGACTTCTGAAATATTCGTGAGGTTATAATTTGTTCTTCGTGAGAGAAAACCCCCATATCCGAATGAGAGCACAAGTGTGCTTACAAATTAATCCATACATTCTGCAAGGTCATGTCCCACTTTCGCCGTGTGGATGAAGACCCCTATTTATATTTATCAATGAATGAGCTTCACAAGAGACGATACAGCCTACACCACAAGCAAATAACAGCAATGCTGTTTGCGCAGGGTTGACGCTGCCAAACATATGTGGCCAAAGGACCTGCAATACATATATAGTCAAGTGGACAACCTGCAGACTTCCCAAGGATTCGACCCGGGAAGCAGGCCGTTCATCTACCAGGAAGTCATTGATCTGGGTAAGAAACTGCATTGGCTAACCAACTTCACGGAGCTGAGCCCTTCTTGAGAAGCCGCCAGTTGCGCAGCTATTCAAGAACTCCCCAGCATTCTATAGAACCGGCAGGTTCATTACCATGTTAATAAAAGCCCTACACTTCTCCCTATCCCGAGGCAGATCGATCCGGTCCATACCACCTCAAACATCCACTTTAATTTGTCCACCCACCCACGTCTTGGTTTTCCTAGAAAGAACTGCATTGTTTTGTTGGAGCTCAAGTGCGAATGCCGAAATTGCTGTGGACTATGAGACAAGAGCAGCACAGGCGCTTCTTTTTATTGCTAGTGGGCGGGACTAAGTCCCTTGTATTGCGGCCACTTCTGGTCTATTGTACCTGCTCCAGATGTAAGGTGAGGGTGATTGTGGAGCAATTGGTGGAATGGAGATTGGCAGGGGAAACCTAAGTACTCGGAGAAAACCCGCCCCAGCGCCACTTTGTCCACCACAAATTCCATTTGACCAGACCTTGGATCGAACCCGGGCCGCCGCGGTGGGAAGCCAGCTATGGCGCGGCCCTAGAACAGGCACTTAAGAACAATTAACTTGTACTATTTATGCCGGGTCAGAGGCGAAGCCTCCAACATAAGGACCAGCCGCATGCTCAGGGCCTACGAACAATTCAGGCTACGGTAACAGAAGGGTATGGAGCAATGGTGGAATGACGAACAGCAGGGGAAAACCAAAGTAATCCAATGAGAATTCGTAAAGGTACAGGTAGAGGTATCCCTGTAACAGCCGTGAAGGCTCATTGGATTATAAGACGTCGAGATTCCCACATTTTCTAGACAATCGGCTCATAGATGGCGGTGAGGTTGTCAGCCCTACGCGCCGGCCGCCCTTGAACCCTCCCCCCCTCCTCCAGGAAGATTCCTGGTACTCATTTCTGTTAGGGGCTGAGTCGACCCCAGGGCCACAGTACCGCTGGAAAGGTTAGCTGAATTGAAAATCAAATGACCTCATCGAGAATAGAATCCGCGACCTTCCGGTTTGCAGCATAGTGCTTCAACCAAGTACGGGACCGCGTGCCCTCTGGTTTACATTTCACTTACTTTAAACAAACTTAGGACAAGTCAATAAGCGAAAATCTGTATCTTTGAACTTAAAAATTTTTATCTTTATTATTTGCCATACTCTGCGTCACAACAACAAACATAACGAAAAAAACCAATCGATTTTTTTCATGTTGGTTTTATTTAATAACTGCTACATGTTTCGGTCCATTTATCTTGTGCCATCCTCAGACAGTGACGAAAGTGAAATGCATGTTACAGGTGGCGAGGGAATACATATTTCAGATTACACTGGTTTCGGCCGTGCCACGGAGTTCAAGTACAGTTCTGAGATCGGAAATGCTTTCCTAGGAAACAATCCCATTAAGTACCTCAGCAACTTCGGTAAGATTTCATTTTGTTTCTATCCCTAGGCATAAGTAACGTAAAGGTATCCCTAGACTTAATTAATTAATCCGCACATCATGAAGACGTATGGGGGAGTGAAGGTATAGTTACTGCTAAACTCGGCACTAAATTGAAGTGAGTGGGTCAGCATCAGGCCCCGGCCACTTTAACCCTTGTACCCACTATGTAGGAAGACGAGTGAATTGTTCTGCCACAAAATTGCGACACAAAAATTCTTATTATATCTAACCGCTGCCATCAGATTATTGTCCCGTACCCCTTACGACAAATTTGTTACTACGAAAGCGGAGGTGAGGCACCCACATTTTTTATTCTTATCTCAACGGTGTCACCAATTTTTTCGTGGCGCACAATTGCGACACCCAAATTCTTATTATATTCCACGCGGCCACCATCAAAATTTAGATTATCCCATCTAATTGTCACCAGCTAAGTATCTGTGGACAGCTCCTACGTCCCACTATGACGTAATATTTACGTGTAACCCAATAAACACTAAACATTTTAAAACGAAAACAAATATAATTAAATCAACAGTTACATATATATAGCCTATTAACACACACAATCTGTGATTACACACCTTGCAATATCCTCTTAAACCTTACTACCCCAAGTCTACTGAACCTGCACGGCGCCAACCACATTTCTGTACTCTGCAGTCAGTAAACCAAAAATATCATGTAATAACAGCGAAGTAAATTCACACTCTAACCTTCATTTGCTAACCAAATTCTACTCGTATATCCTAATGAACCAAATTTTTATACCCTCACAATCACTCAATTAGTGAAACAAATATTACGTCCTAAAGAGTCAATCAGTGGATCAATTTTCATATTCAACAACTAGTGAACCAACTTTTGTATCCTAACAATCCATTAATAAACCAAAATTTATATCCTAATCATTACTGAACCATAAATTACATATTAACAAACAATCAATGATACTATATTTTTACGATCAATTGATCACTTTTTTTTGTGTTCTAACATTCAATCAATAATCCCAATTTTATGTCTTAACAATTCATACGTGAACAAGAACTTATATGCTCTAAGAACCAATAAATCACATTCCCTACGCTAACAATCATCAGTGGACCGAACACAGGCAAGTACTCACGCGACCAGACGAGTCGCAGAATAAACATGGCCGGCACGCCATCTTGAAACTCCTCCGCACTGGCTTTACCACACGACTTTTCTGAGCGACTCCTAAAGTCTCTTTCCGAACCCCCAAAATTCGACATCATAAGAATTCCGTGCACTCAAAATCTTAAAATCGGCAGATTCCTCCTGGCCGATAACCTGCCGTGCGAAAGCGAGACTTGCCTCTGTGTTGTTCACCTGGTTTGTCAGCATTTTCTATAAACTAGACCAGTATTCCGCAACCTTTTTCTACTCGCGGCACACCATGAAGTATCCATGACTCGACACGGCACACCAAAATGTCATTCCCCTCAAAAACGCATGATATCAGACAATTAATATAAATACGTAAAGTGATCAACTTATTGCTATAATATTATTATATTGTTATTTTATTATCATTAAACAGAAATCGACTCGTGCATTTATTAACAATTAATGAACTTTAATTCACTGTAGAGTGTAGACAATACACTTCTATTACTATTAAAGTAAATACAGTAATTCTGTTCATGCCTTCAATGTGATACTTGCGCCTGCGTAGCTGCACACAGGCGACTGATCCCTGATGGAACCGCTGACAACTGAAGTCTCATTTCTTCATCGATGGATTTGAGCCGCTCCCTCTTTGATGTCTTAATTTCAGTTAACGTCGAGAAGCCCAGTTCACACAAATATGTAGTTGAAAATGGCAATAACACATTAACTGCCATCTCGGAGATAGCCGGGTATTCAATCCTTATTGCCAACCAAAACGTGTCCAAAGCCACTTCGAGAAGTTTTAGTTTCAATGTTATGTCTGCTTTTAAATCTGCGAGTTCCTCTTGTATATTAATCGGAAGATGTTCTGAATTCACAACAAATGGACCACGAACCCAGTCGAAATCTTGTACACTCTCTCCAAAATACTTATTAAATTTCTGCTGCAGCATTTCTAAATGTTCTTTAAATGTGTCCATCACCACTTTATTGCCGTCAGCAAGTGGCCATACAGTCTGGGGCATCTCAAACGACCCATCTGTAATTCTCTAACTNTATCCACAAATTCAGCATATTTACAATTCCTCGTGTCTTAGCCATATTAGAATATTTAGTTAGAATATTTTCGTTCCTACCTTGCATCTTTCTGTTCAGCTCATTCAAGTGTACGAAAATATCGGAAACATATGCCAACTTACATACCCATTCATCATCCGCAAATAAATCCGCGTACTCATGCCCCTCAACAGTAAAAAAGACGCGTACCTCCTCATTAAGTTCAAATATTCGCGTCAACACTTTTCCTCGTGATAACCACCGTACTTCTGTATGTAGTAGGAGTGTAGTGTGTTCTGATTCCATTTCCTGACACAAAACGGAAAAAAGCCGCGAGTTTAGGGGCCGCGATTTGATGAGGTTCACGACTTTTACTACTTCGTCCAGCACAACTTTCAGAGAAGATGGCAAAGACTTAGCAACGATGGCTTCGTGGTGAATGAGACAATGATCGCATGGTATGTTAGGATTTACTTTGCGTACTTTAGCTATAAATCCTTTAACACGGCCTGTCATAGAAGCGGCTCCGTCGGTACAAACACTAACGCAATCCTTCCATTTAAATTCATTATGTAACACATATTCATTAGTGACACGAAATACTTCTTCACCGGTGGCTCGCTCGGGAAGTTCTTTGCAAGAAAAGAAATTTGTTGCAATTACATCTCCATCGATGTATCGAATGTAAGCAAGAAGTTGTGCGTGGCCGCTAATATCGGTGGACTCATGATATGTATGCAGTGTCCGTCTTCTAGTGCATTCAATTTCACTTGTTATTTCACAATATGTTTCGGCACTATAGTGCCATCATCAGGTGAAATAATAAGTGAAATTGAGTGCACTAAAAGACGGACACTGCATACATATCATGGACGAAAATCAGTGCAACAGGACGCTAAAATACAACATCGGTGGACTCGTCGATGTGAAGCGAGAACTTCTGACTGCTGTTGATTTTCTCCTTCATAATGGCTTCAGTGTCACTGGACATGTCAATAAAAGACAGGGAAACCCTTGTTAATCCCTGCAGTTTTAGGGAAAAGCACGTACACAGAACATGCGGCAAGCATGTCAAAGAAGCTGCGTAGATGTGAGAAAAATAAAAATAAATCAATAATGAAAACTATGATATAACAACAACTGTGAGTAAATAATTTACGTTTAATTTATTAGAATACAACATTACTGTACATAAAAAATCACGGCATGTAATAAAGAATACACAAGCATCATCTTATTTAATCAGTACAGTGGCTGTGAATAAAATACAAGCATGTGAAACACGATAACTGGGATAAAATAAAAAGAATAAAATTCGACAATTAATTTCTTACAATAGGTAAAAGTTCGCGTCATACCTTTCACTTTGTGACGGCACACCAGTGTGCCGCGGCACACCGGTTGTGGAACACTGAACTAGACAACTGAAACCAGATGCCTGAGAAATGTGTTACGTCTAAAGGTGATCTCAACTCTGGTTTCCGGCTGACCGACCTGTGGGTCACCTAACGTATTTCAATTTAGAAAACATATAATTATTTTCTAATAAATGAAACACAAAATTGACTCCTTGTTAAATAAAATCATAACGTGGGCCACACCAGCGTCCAAGAGCCTGTCTGGATGTTAGGGCAAATAGAAGAATCTCTTGCCTCTACCGGGAATAGGTCGTCCAGTGTGTAGCCTTGTCGCTAGGTTCTTTGAGCCCCCCCCCCGATTCTTAATTCCTTTATGTACTTCATAACCCCAATTGTACAATTTAACAGTCTATGTAATGTGGGAGCACCGCCTCTGTGGTCAGCGTTCTTGGCTTCGATTCCCGGCACTACCAGATTTTTTGAGAAGTAGTGGGTCTGGAACGGGGTCCACTCATCCTCGTGAGGATAATTGAGGAGCTATTTCAAGGAAATAGCGGATCCGGCCTAGAAAACCGAAATTAACGGCCATGGGCATTTGTTGCGCTGATCACGCCGTATCCTCTATCCGTTAAAGTTGGCACTAAACTTCGCCGACAAGCGGCGGTCGCTCTGTCGGTATAGTTCGCTTACGGACTAAAATCACGGAGTTTTTTTAATGTAATGTGGGAGACTGGACGTCCCACAACCCTATGCGCCTCCACGTCCTGTTACAGTGGAACTGATATGCTCTCATGTACACGCGAGAAGAACAACTGAAGGATTATTCCCGCATTCATTTTTGGCTTGAGGTGCTTCAATGACGTCAGTCCGTCAGCTGCGAATACAAACATAACATTTGATGTGTGGGCTGCGCAGAACTTCTGCTCAGTGGATTCCTTATGTCACTAAGGTATTCAGGAAATAATGAAGTGCCTATCCTCATTCGCAAGGCAGGGAAAACACGTTAGAGTCACGAAAGGGGAGTCCTGTACACTTAAGCTCTTCTAAGTATTGTTAATTCCTTGATATAGCACTAATAAGGAGAACACGACGTAATGACTATTGCTTATTTTTTCGCCCGTAACAAAATTAATTCAATTTAGATATAAATTTTATTGTTGCAGTACAAATATTATGTTTCTGGGCATTATCCATCGTCCTGTTTATTTTTCGAAACGCAGCGTTTCGTAGACTGGACGCTATGTCCATCTTCCGGTGAAACTTACTCAGTTGGGCCCAATCGGTAGAGCTTGTCCCTATCTCCGGACACCTGTACCAGCACCAAGATGGGGTGTACAAGCCAAGCACAGCACAAACCACCTGCGGGAGCCAAGAAAACCTTAAATTATTAAAAACTCTACACTTACGACGCCTTGCATGAGAGAACTATCACGACAGAAATCATTACTGGAGAGAAGAAATAATCCTTATGGTACCAACACCAGAAAAACAAAATTTCCCACCCAATCTACACTTGGCAGAGTTGTAGTTTCTTCTTGTTCTTCTTCTTGTTCTTGTTCTTCTTCTTCTGTCTGCTCTGATATCGGGGGTCCAGATGGGAGAGATGTTCACGCTGGGTTGATATGTGGGCAGATTCTTTGTACTATTATTTCCTGTATTCGTTGCTTGGCTCAATCTGCAAGACCTTCGCTTCATATCTAGAAATATAATATACAATACGAATGTACTTACTACTGGATCATCGTCACAAAATTTTAAATCTTATTTATTGTTATAGGTTTAAAATTATATCATAACGACTAATGGCATAAAAATTGTTTTTTTTTTTTCAGGTGAAGCCTGGGGATTTGTCGGAAGTGGAGACGCTCTTGTTTTCGTCGATAACCACGACAACCAAAGAGGAGGAGCAAATATACTGACATACAAGCAAGCCAAATTATACAAAGTACGCAGCGAAGTGAAAGGCTACTGAAATAATTAATATATTGATGAACAGTCTAATTAACGGGAAATAAACAGATCTGTAAATATGTGTCCAGCTGCCTAGCTGGTGAATGAACCAAACATTTAACAACATGTTTTTTGGTCTTTCTTGCGCAACCAACAGTTCAGGCAATTATTAGACAATTTAAAATGATCATTAATGACATAAAACAATAAGCATGGAGCTAAGATGTTTACATGCAACAAGGTTAATATTGTAGGATTTGAAGTTCTCACACCGGTGGTTATGAAGAGTTATATCTTCTGGAATAACGCCGTGTAGTCCGCTGAAAGTCAACGGACGTTTCTGACGAACACGTCGTCTCAATCTTCAGGCATGAAACTAGCGTGAAGCAGACAGCAAGCAAAAGCTTCCTGAAGACTGAAGCGATAAATTCCTCCGATATGCCGTGATTGACTTTCAGCGGGTTATACGTCGATATATCCGAAATGGCACTCTTTCAGTGTTGGTACTGTTAATACACTTCAACTGAGGTTCACATCCTCTTTATGAAAGTTGTTTTTGTGTTATCGTTCGAAACTGGCCAAAAATCTTATTTAATTTGATTCGACTGAGTTTGATAAATGTCATTTCTCTTGACGAATGCCGTCTTCCGGAATGTGGTGCCGTGTAGCGTGTTATAAACCGACGTTTCGGTGGAACGCATGGCCTCCATCTTCAGGGTAGAAGAAAAAAGGAAAAATCTGCGAGCTAGGGACCAGCGCGAGCAAGTCTATGTCTACACGGCGGGGACTGGATGACCGAGGGATTGGAGTTGGAGTCCCGGTAGGGTCAAGAATTTTCTGTTCTCGACGTCGTGCAGACCGGCTCTGGGGTTCACCCAGTCTCCTATCCAATTGGTACTGGGTCTCTTTTCAGGGAGTAAAGAAGTCAGGAGGAGAAGCTAACGGCTCACCTCCAGCCAGTGCCAAGGTCGAGGAAATATGGATCTATACGTCCACTCCCCCATACGCCTTCATGGCGTAGTGCTTAATTAGTTAAGCACAGGGACAACTTTACTTGCGCAAAATGTACTCATGTTTTCTAATTTATCAAGGAGCTTTACGCGTCGCCGACTTTGGCTCCACAAATAATAACATTAAGTGAGTGTGTGGTTCTGTACGGGTGATACACTTGGTCTCTGACATTAAGGGAGAGACATAGACTGAGGGTGTTTGAGAACAGGGTGTTGAGAATATTTAGACCGAAGAGAGATGAAGTGACAGGAGGTTGGAGAAAACTGCATAATGAGAAGCTTCATAACTTGTACTCTTCTCCAAGTATAATTAGTACGATCAAGTCAAGGAGGATGAGATGTACAGGGCATGTAGCACGAATGAGGAGAAAAGGAATTCAAATGGGATATAGGTGGGAAAGCCAGAAGGAAAGATAATACTGGGAAGACCAAGACATAGGTGGGTGGAAAATATTGAAATGTATCTTAGAGAGATAGAATGGGATGGTATATACTGCATTGATCTGGCTCAGAATACGGACCAGTTGAGGGCTCTTGTGAACACGGTAATGAACCTTTTGGTTCCATAAAATGCCGGGAAGTTCTTGAGCAGCTGCACAACCAGCGGCTTATCAAGAAGGTCTCAGCTCCGTGAAGTTAACTTGTTTTTCTGTTTCTGGACATTATCCATCGTCCAGTTTTTCCTGTTTAAGACTGCATGGGGACTAGCTCTATCGACTGGGCGCATCTGAGTAGACTTCGCCTGAAGATGGAGACAGAATCCAGTATCCGAAACGTTTTTTATTTTGAAAAAGAAAGAGACCGGTGTTCAGATGGAATTGCCGGGAAACATATCATTTACACCGTTACTCTGTTTAGTTACATCGCTCGGTAGTGCAGTTGGCTGAGGCACTATCATACAAGCTGGAGTTCGCGGGCTCGGTTCCCGATGAGGTCACCTGATTTTTCAATTGACTTAATCCTTCCAGATGCACTATGGCCCTGTGTTCGACTAAGCCTCTAACAGAAACGAGTACCGCTGTTGCGTAAGACTGACAACCTCACCGCCATCTGTGAGCCGATTTTCTAGAAAATGTGGGAGCCTCGACGTCTCACAACCCTATGGGCCTCCACGGCCTGTTGCAGGGATAGATTTACTTTTATCTAGTTACACATGCATTGTAGATTATCATACAAAATCTGCATTTCTTCCCTTTTCCACCTTTTAAGACATAACATGCAAGTTATGTTTTCGGTACCATATTTTGGATATGTATTTAAGCAAACGTGTGAGTTCTGCTGCGTACAGAAAACACAGACTACTTAACAGGTGAAATAGTTCATGGCAATATATTATTCTGTGGTCAAATATTGTGATGTGTATACCCACATACTGAAAACACTGACAAAACTAATGAACACCATATATGAAAGTGGAGAGTGGCCTAAGGACTTTACAGAAGTTACAGTGATTGCCTTAAAGAAAAAGACAAAAGCTACAAAATGCAGCGACCATCGCACAATAAGCCTTATTGCATATACTGCAAAGATAATAGCAAAGTTACTTAAAAGAAGAATTGAAAGGAAAATAGAGGATATACTTGCAGAAGATCAGTTTGGATTTAGAAGAGGAAAAGGAACAAGGGATGCAATTGGGATGATGAGAATTATAGCGGAACGAACTTTGGAGATAGATGAAGAACTGTGTGTTTGCTTCATAGACTGGCAGAAGGCATTTGACCGGGTAAACTGGACCAAATTA